GCTGCTAGAAAGGTTGACAGGAGGTGGAAAGCAGGAAGTGGAGGGGTCCAAAATATTCGTTGTGATTTCTTTATGGAACCAAAAATAAATATATCATTTTATCTACTTAATAAGTTAAATATTCTATTACGCATTCTGGATGGTTAAATTCCCTCAGTGTGGAAATGATAGTGGGAGAAGGGAGGAAAGTGGAACTCACACTTTCAGCTCTGTATATCTCTAAACTGCTTGAAATTCTGGATAAAGAAAAATGCATACATGTGTTACTGTTATTATTTAATGTTCTTGGTCCCTTAGAAATAATATGTGATATGGAAGAGAGTGAACATGAAATACAGATGTTTCTCTGACTATATTTCTGCCTTTCACTCACTTTTTCCCCTTTTAAAAGTTAATCCAAATATCTGCTACACTCACGTTTCCAGTCCTAGACTTTCCAAAATTGTTCTCCCCTCTCTAAAAGGCTTTCACCTTTAACCTCTTCAGCATTAGCCTCACAATGTCTACGAATGTTTTTAAAGAACAACCTTTCTTATTGTCATTGAAAGACGTTTAGAAGATCATTCATAACAGAACTGTGGACCTTGAATCTGGAGTTAAGGATACCCAGCTCCGTGTTGTCAGCAGTGGTGCTCTCTGGTCAGTTACTGATTGGAAATACCTAGCGCTCAAACAGCAGGAACAGAGTATATCTGCTGACATAAGCTGCAGAGGAAATCTGCAGGCTCCCAATGCTGAATTTGAAAAGAGAGGCCTCTTCATCCAGTTGCACTTATGGGATCTCTTTAGGTCACTTGGATATTTATTCTAGAATGAAAAGAATGTCTCAGTACTTAGGGAATACATATCACATGTGGGCTTCCACCAGGAAACGTCTGCACACCATCAGTGCCATCAGGCGGTGCTCCCGATGTGGAGCACTCTTTGAAGACTTGGCAGTCCTTGGGCCCTACTGCCTCCATTTCCCCTTCATGCCCACGTCTACATCTTTTATGCAGAAAGGGAGCCAGAAAGTAATGTGAGGCCTAAACACAAGACTTAGTCACAACACAAGTGAGAGCATTCAGGGGCCTGCTGGCCTGTTCCTTTGGCAATAAGCGGCTCAGAAAAAGTCTTTGAACCTTATTTCCATGGAAATTAAAATTAAAATAAACCAGAGGCAGCATTAGAAGCAATAGGACAAAATTATGTATACACTTACATGTAGGGGTATTGATATAGACGCAAATTTAGATAGATTTATTATGCATTTTATGCATCTATATTAACCCCAAATGTGAATAATCTCCATGCAGATGGCCAGGCACTAACAGAGAGGCTTTATTTGGGACTCTGCAATTATGGTAACTGGATATTCAACCCAACAGCAATAGAATGGTGTAAGGGCACAGAAAGGAGCATGGGAACACTTTCTGGATAAATTCTATCTCTTGACATCTTTATTGAAATAGAGGGAGTATTCTATCAGACACTAACAACAAGCTTAAAATATATCAAAGCAATAATGAATGTGAATCCTAAAATGGGAGCCAGCACATGGTACTTCTGTGGCTTCAGAGATGGGCAAAGACACGTTCGAGGCTGCACATTCAAGGACAGAGAGGCAGAGAGGGAAAATTCTCATGTGTAAAATGAAAAGCCAAAGCCTGAACTTAAACAATAGCTGTTGAGAACCATGTACAGAACTATCTATCCTAAGTCCACACCAAAGTGGTCTCCTGTCTTTGACCATTACTTTTCTGGGGTAATTCAATCAAAGAACAGAAGTGGAGAAGGAGAGAGAAACAATAATATTCAAAATCTCTAACCAGTTCCATAAGGGCTGTTATCTAATATCAAGTGTTTTCCAGTTACCAATCTAAAGAGAATGAGGTTGAAAATTCTCTTTAATCATTCTTCTTTCAGTCAATTAATATTTATTGAGTGCCAACTTTGGGCTTGGCACTGGGTAAGTAATGAAGAACACAGCCAATGCCAATATAAATTTGGCCATCATGAATTTCATAGTCTGGCCTCCGCTCTAGATTGTACCTTCAGTGCTTAGTTATAGAGCACCAGAGAAGAAACAAACAAAAACAACCCATGAAGCTTTCAGTCACGGAGCTCATCTCAGCTCTGTGGTTTAAAATCCTGGTTTAACTGGCTGGTTTGGAATTCAGAGTTCACCGTCCCAAGGAAGCAACACCATCAATAATGTTTGGGTTCTCAGGTCAACCCATAAAACTCGAATTGCCATATATTCAGCTGCAGTGTGATTTCAGAGGTTGATGGTTTATATGATGCTGGGCCCTACAAGCCAACACTATTAGGCAACTGCAGTTTATAATCCAGAGTCTACTACTAGGAATTGAAAAGCTAAAATGTGCCATAGGAGAGGTGGGCAAAACACTGTAGATGCATATGTATACTGCTAGCAGTCATCATTGTCTTATCTGTCTCCAGGATAAGAGAATCCTATTGGGGTCGAATCTCCCAAAGATGCATGGAAAGGCAAGAGTTACATTGGGAATAGCTCGTTTGTACACCAGCCACAGACCGCTCAAGTGTATCTAGAGGTCTGGCCAAGATGGAACATCATCCCATAGCACTGTTCCAAAGAAATCACCACTGGTATAGTTTCTGGTTATTTCAGAAAGCCTAATGATATTTTACATTGTTAAGGGGCAATAATTATATTTCCCTTTCAAGGCATGATTTTTCAGCAATCATCTCAGTTCTACTAACATTTATAATACATTAACTTACATTTTTATGCTATTTCTTAGCACTTATTGCATCAGCCTTGTCTTATCTTCTAGATCCCCCTAAATTATCACCTCAGCTTCTGCTTGGTAAGACAATAATAGCCTCACCTTAGGCCTGTTTTGTTCAAATTACAGCTCAGAGAGATATGTAGTTAAAAATAGAAAAAGAAGCTATCCTAAACAAAAATATAAGTCTCTATGACAGTCCTTTAAAAACTGATTTTATCTATGTTTAGGAGGAAGGGAAAGAAACACACACTATGGTCGCTAGCGCCTGCAGTCATTTTCTGGCTCTATGCCAAGGTTAGTAAAATCTTACGATTCATTAAGGGTACCCTTAGGTTATGCTTAGAAAATATTGGTGTCAAGGCAGTAATCATGCCAACTCATCCAAATAAAACACCTCGTTTGAGTATTTGTTGGTACATTTCTTTCCTGAAATGTCTATCTTTTATTCTCCTCCATCACTGCACCAGAGAGTATGTTGTCATTTACAGATAATTCTAACACAAATCAGAGCTACTGAATTTTGCTCCATGGGTTTCCAAAGCTTTTATGGAGCTTCCAGACATGTCTGCCTCTCTCTGAAGAGCCCATGAGATGAAAAATCTCACCCTAAATGCTGGAGATGGGCAAGAGATGGCGCTACAGCCTGACTCTGCAGAAAATTCTCTGCTTGGGGTCATCTACTCTAAATGCCTGTCTGAAAAGAAGGAACCCGATTAGAATGAATAAAGCAAAATACCCTGGGAGAGAGGAAGCACACAGAGGGCAGCAAGCTGGCCTTGAGCTGGGTGCTAGCTAAAATGGGGACACAGAAATCTGTGAAGTGTGAGTTCAGTTAGTAATGTCTTGTCACACTCAAAAGAGACCTGGCCATCCACATTTATATCATGTAACAATGATTCTCTGAGAATGCTTGGGCAACAGCAGCATCAGTATCCCTTGGACACTGTTAGACATGACAATCCTTAAACCCACCACAGACCTATGAAGTCATAAACTTTCAGGAGGCCCAGAAACCCATGATTTCACAAGCCTCTGGGGTTTCTGATACAAAGTCAACCTTGAGAACTGCTATAGGATTAATCAGAATCACTGTAATAGAGACCATCTCACAGTTATTATTTATAATGGAGAAAGACACCTTCTCTCCTGCAAAAGAAAAGTCAAGGATCAGCAGGTCCAAAGGGGAATCAAGAGGAGGCTTGGGGGGAATATGTGTGGGAAGGAGTTTAAATGCCAATTATTGCTACTCCTCCCTGCTCATTTCAAGTTTAGAGATCTCACAAGGAAAAAGAGAAAAGCTCAGAAATGATCTGACCCATCCCTGAGCCCAGGGGATGCTGGACAAATCACTGCTGTCCAAGTGAGCAAAAAACAATAATAATAATTGTAATGAAACAACACAGATCAAAACAAAAAACAGAACCACCTGACTTTCTCTCTAACAAAACCAAGACACTATTAAACCTTCTTCACAACTTTCCCAAGCTAGTGGCTATTTATATGAGACCACACAAAGTTCAAATAACATATTGGTCAATGTTTAAGTATAAATTTCAGAGCAAATCCTTTTAAATCACTGAAACTCTTGACTATTTATATAATAAAAACATTAAAGCAAGTTTCCTCCTAAAATGAATTCCAAGTCTTCTAAAAGAGACCAGTGATCTATTGTTGGGCAACATAGTCCTTAATTTTTAATTGAGCACTGGGAATTTTTCCACTAAAAATAAAAGAAAAGCTACTCATTCACAAGGCTTCAATGTACCGCCAGTGGCTCTTATTTTGTTTCCCAACACTGTTTACATTTCAAAAGATGGGAATCTGGGAAAGCAGGAGCAACATCAAAAGCAAGTTACCGATGATCTACAAGTCAAGTGTACAGCAGAAATGGTCTTTCTGCACAAAATCCATGTGTCCACAATTAGCCTAATGCCATCAAGCCTTGTCTGATTTTCTGAAGCCAAAGGAAAAGTCAGGCACCATTTATCTATATCATAATTAGTCACTTGATACTCAAGAGACCAAGTCTCTGTTTTCTGGGACAACTGTTCTCATTGGAAAATGGGTTGCACTGAGTAATCAACATTATTTTGCTCTGTCTTGATTAGTAGTAGCAGATCCTTGTTGCTATTTTTTCAGCCTTAAACCTAGTCACTGTAAATATAGCTGCTTCCTTCTTTAGTGGTAATTAGCATTAAACCAAAAATGATTCCACATCAAAAGTGAACTAAATACAACACTTCTTACCTTTCATGCCAAACTTGGAGTGTCTTGCCAACTTCAGCAGAAACAGCATTACCAGCAGACAGAATCCCACCACAGATGCAATTACCACCACAGCATAGACCTAAAGAAAGGAAGAGAGGACACTTATGACCTAGCTAATGAGTTGCATATACCACAATGAAGATAAGGATGATGGTTAATATTTATTGAGTGATTCCTAATCCTCGGCAATCCTGTGATGAAATATTTACACATCAGAAAACAAAGCTAATGGGTATCCAATTGATATTATATATAGATCTGGCTATTATATATAAATCTCCACCTCTGTTTCTTTCTTCATCTACCTAATCTCTCTCCATTTGTCTAATCTCTATCTATCTAAAACATGAATGATAAAATACTGATCATTTTTAAAGTGGTCAAAATACAATGCAGTTCATTTAGTGATGGTTGTTTTTATCACTGCTGTTTTTGAAAATTACCCCTAATAGAAATACAGGTTATTTTGAGGTAATGCTGGATTACAATATTGTTTGTGTTTTAGAGGCATAACTTTAAAGTTGACTGTCATTGCTCTTAGAAATCAAGGTCTCCTGGAGCAGTAACTAGGGCTGGAAGGATGTAAGAGGGCACTTGCGGTGAGTTCAACTTGTGAAAACTCTGGATTGTAAGCTTAAGGCATATGCACTTTACTGCATTTATGCTACAGGTCACTTTTGTTAGTTTAAAAGTGCAATTACAAGATGTGGGTTATACAAGTAGAGAGAGTAAATAATTATGTATATGGATCCTATGATAACCCTGAATGGAAGATCACAGAGGAACAAGTACATAACACTAAGTACATATTAACATTTTAGAAACAAAGATAACTCTTTCCATTTCCTGCTGCCCAGTAAAAGTTCCTGCTTCCAAACAAAATTTGATTCCCTAAAGCAGAAGTTGGCAAACTTTTACAATATAGGGCCAGACAGCAAACATTTTAAACTTTGGAACCTTAGACTATCTGTTGCACTAACTCAACCCAACTGGTGCAGCATGAAAACAGTCATAGACAATATGTGAACAAATGGATATGGCAATATGCCAATAAAACTTTATTTGCAAGAACAGATGCTGCCAAACTGTACATAGTTTCCTGAGTCCTCCGAACTGTTGTTAGATGTTCATGATGACTTAGGTGCTTAAGCTTGTTTCATTTAATCTGTATAATAATCCTTAAGACAAATGTTATTACCCCATCTGTGGTAATTATTTATGTTAGTTCCCAAACATTTCAGTTCTTCCCTGTGTTTCTCTTTGTAAGATTCATTTCCTGGCTTCATTGTGGTGAGAGGGTTCATATGGTTATCTCTGGTCACCGAGTTAACAAGTGTCACTGCCAGATGGAGGATATACTTACCATCACAAGATGGTAAGTGATTCTCAGCCAAAGATTCTATTGTTTGCACCTAAGAGTCGTACGGCAACTTGGGGGTGTTAGAATAGGGGATAGGACATCTAGTGGGTTGAGAACAAGGATGCTGCCAAACATCCCACAGCACTAAGGACAGCCCCACAGTGAAATTCTCCCTCTCCCCCAATTTTCAATTCCTGCCCTAGTTCTCTTTCTTTCTGCTGTAATAAATGCTAGCTTTCCAAAAATGCAATGCTTTGTCAGCCTCCTCTTAGAAAGAGGATGAGGCTGACTGGGCTCTTAACTAACACATGTAATGAAGCAAAAAATAAACCTTTAATGGTTTAAGCCACTAAGATTTGGGGATTTTTGTTACTGCAGCATAATTTATCTTGACTGATAAAATCATCTCATAGAAGAGAAAAATCATCTCATAGTTCTTTAAGATTAAGAATATGGGCTTTTTCTGAGACTGAAATCTAGCTTTAACACTTATTAGATGCACAACCTAGAATTACTTTACCTCCCCCAAAAGCTCGTAACTAATGCTACCTTGCAAGTTGTTGTAAATCCGTAATAGTTGATGTAGATAATGGGCTTGGAATAGTTTCTATACATCAATAGATAATAAATAAATTATGTTGACGATGCATGATGATGATGATGATGATGATAAAACTGGAATATAGAAACTAAGGAGGTCAAGATCACACCTTTTAAGCTTGGGACTTGAACCAAATTCATTTCAAATATAAGACCTGTGGTTTACCTTGTGATGTACCCATTATAATATTGCCACACCAAAGCATGTGAATGATAGTAAAGTTAGGACAATGAGGAAAGACACTGTTCCTCCTGCAATGAGTTCTTTCATGTCAGCTGGGAACAGCATTAAATAAGTCACAAAGTATTAGAAAAGAACACAGGCCAAGCACTCAGCCAGGGTGAAGCAAAGGTGTGACAATTCTCCTCTGAAGAGTGACTTTCCCAGAGTGTACTTCTGCAAATATTTAAAAGCAGGCTTAACTTGTCCATATACAGAATGGTTTGGATTCCTAGAAGGCTCATTATGAATCAACTTGCTAACCAACACTATCGAACTTACCTAATGATTCTAGATTTTGCTTTTTGTTGTTTGTTTGTTTTTTCTCCAAGATTTATCTACAACTAAGACTTCCGTGGAAAAGAGATCAAAGTATTTTAGCCATAACTTTCTTTACCACACTACTAAACTCCATACTTCTAAAGAAAGAGGGAAATACCTAAAAATACAAACTCAACTATATCTTTTAGATAAGAAAACAGAGATGGAGGGAGGGACTTTCTCTGAGTCCCACAACCTGTCACATGTAATGAAGCAAAAAATAAACCTTTTTATTAAGTACTTGTCTCCTACCTACTTTGGAAATTACTTAAGTACTTGGCTTCATCCTCCTTGTGAGCAGGAACTGTCTGCCTATCCTATTTATTTAATATCTGATCCACACAAAAATTTAAAAATTTTCTTCAAATCCTCAAAACATTGTCAGGAGATTTCTAAGAATTTTAGAATCAACATCCAGACTTTCAACAAAGATGGTCAGTAACTTTGCTTTCCAGTGACCCTACTTTTGACAGTTCAAATAAAATTAAGTATGTAAATTAAAGGCTTAAATTCATCACTGGGATTAAGAAAATAAAACTAAAAGTAACATAATATTTTTATTAATTGTGATCTACCACACCCATCCTGGATTCCTCATATACCCAAATACTTTTCTCACACTAAGAAACATTAAGTGATTTGGTATGAGAATAAAAACTGAAATGACTGTCCAAGGCAGAAAGTGGCAGATAACATGTGCTTGATTGCCACAATGTTTGACCTCATTATTTCAGTGTAATACATACAGTCATCTCTGGAAGTGTGTGTGTGTGTGTGTGTGTGTGTGTGTGTCCATCCACAAGGTATGGATATTTTGAATTACAGTTGGGCTGCACGCTTATGAGCACATTTCTAATACCCTGGCTCTGGTCTAAATGTGAACCACAGTAATACAGAACAGAGTCTGTATTACTGTACCAGAGTCTGTTCTACAACTCATTTTATAGTTTTCATCATTAGTTTATTTTACTAAGTACCTTCTCAGTGCCAAACACTATTCTGGGGACTGAGGATACAATATGAAAAACACTGACCAAGTTGCCTATATAATGTGTAATCACACTGAAGAATGTAGGGGTGGGAACAAGACAAGTAAACAAATAAATAAGCAAGATTATTATAGACAATAAGAAGAAAATTAGGCCCCTCCCTGGTGGTGCAACAGGTCAAAGCACAGCTCTATGAAGCTATTCACAGTCACTGCAGCATGAGTTCAATCCCCAGTCGGGGGGGGGGGGGGGTTGACACATGTGGTGTGGCAGACCAGAGCCTGACCTGCCTGCTGCCCCCTCAGCAGTGCTTTTCAGTCAGTCAGCCTGTTCTGCTTCCTGCTCTCTCTGTGGTGAATCCTCACACACACTCACACACACACACACACACACATACACACACACACACACCCGCAGCACCTTTGGCCTATACCCCAGTTCTTGTATGCCTAAATCAATAAATATTTTAAAACGAAGAAGAAGAAAAACAGGGTAATGACTGCCTGCTGGCTACTGTAGCTAACGTTATGGGATGCCCATCATGAACTGCATGCCTTTTAGCAGGGTCAGCAAATATAGATTGTAAATCGAGAGTGAACATGGAGTAATCATGAAAACATTAAAAATACAGGTTTTAAGCGGTGAGAAGAGTATGATCAGTCAAGTCAGAGCGACAGATGAGGATAAGCTACGGCTGCCATGGGGAGTGTGGTTTGTATGATAAAATTTTATTGAACTCGCACTGGAAATAATCCAAGATCTGGTTTGTCCTTGTAAAGACTCATTGAGGTTGCTGTTGGAGAAAGACTGTAAGATGAGCGCAGGAGCAGGGGGCCAGCAGGGGGGCGATAGCAGTCACCCAGGAAGAGGCAACTGTGGCAACCTTTCTCGTGGAGGCCCAGCTAGGAGACACTGCTGGCTCTTCAGACCACATGGACTCGCCTACCACTAGCCCACTGTCCGGGAGCACAAAAGCAGTCACAGCCAGTAGAATGGTGTGACTCTGTTCTGATAGAACTTGAAGGGCTCACATTTTTTTAATTCATGAAGTTTCCATGTGATTTAAAATATCATTTAAAAAAAAAAAAACTTAAAATGCAAGGACTGGTATTTGCCTGTAGACTACACAAGAACAGGATTTGTGACTTCTCCACCCTTGGGTCTGTGTGACACTATGGCAGAGGAGGTGGGGAGAGGCGGTGGGTTTGGGATTTATAAGGAGGCAGAATTCACTACACATCAGTCTATGTGCCTAAGACATGTGAGGAAAAGAAAAGGGAAGGCTGCCAGGGTTTGACCTGAACAACTGATAACCCAACACTGCCAGAGAACCTCTGGAGTGAATCCCCTTCACTGTGCAATAAATTCAGCCAGTTGCCCATTTGCTTCAAGACCTCATGACATGACACAACCAACTTCAACCTTGCTCCCAACCCCTGGCTTTCCTGGGCCTGACCATCCAAAGACGACTATTCCCAGTCTGCAAGCTCTTGCTCATACATCTACAATGGCCTCTCCTCTGTTCCTCTATCTAAATCCCAGACATCCTGTGCTGGCCATGGAGAATGTTACCCATGGCAAGAAGCTCTCCTGGTTCTTCCAGGGCTAAAGAGTAGAACATTTGCCCCACTATCTCTCTCCTCATGTTCCTCAACTTCTATTTCTAGTTTGGGTGCCAGTATTCACATCTCAGATCCTGGATTAAAGTCAAGTTCCTCAATGACAGACTTCAGTTTTATTCAAATTTTTAAATCTCACATCTAGTCCCTTCCAGAACCTATATGTCCCCTTTCTTAGATTTGGTAGGCACTGAGACTTTTACTAAAACATTTAAGGAGACATTTGTGAGGAGTGGAAGACAGGAATAATTTTGATTATAAAGATCCCAGAACAAGAAAGCTGGTTTTGTGCTCTTCTTAGTGACAAACTTTCAAAAGATAGATATTTAAAATAGGAGCCATGCACATGAAACCTACATAATGGAATAAACCAATGTTATTTCAATAATTTTTTTAAAGAAGCAAAATAGGAACCATTAGCAATTAAAGTGGTGCATAAAAGGGAAGCAAATAAGTCAGAGGCCATTAGCATCTTTATCACTTCTCTTCAATCTCTCTGTTTCGACCAACCAACCTTCAATGTCCTGTCCACATCAGGACCATAAACTGTCTTGTTGAAGAACATGCACTGAAGCAGCTCCATTCCACCAGCTTAATTAAGTATCCAAGATGCTCAGAGCCAACGTTGAGAACAACTATTCATCCAACTCACCGAGAGATGCTCCCGACCAGTTTTGTCTGCCACACCTGTGGTAGGGAATTCATTGCTTCGGTTCGTGGTATCCCCGATGTCATTTGCCGCAGTCCCATAATCTTAAAATAGAGAAGGCAACAGGAGAAGAAACCATGAAGTTGTCCTTAGGCTGCCAATAACATGAGGCTACAGCCCACCCAGGACAAAGACACACTCAGTCCCTTCCAGAAACTACAGGCTCCCTTCCTTACATTTGGTGGGCACTGAGACCTTTATTAAAACACTTGTGAAGTGTGGAGGACAGGAATAATTTTAATTATAAAGATCCCTGAGAAAGAAAGCTGGTTTTATGCTCTTCTTAGTGATAATTTTTCAAAAAATAGATATTTAAGGGCCCTCCCTGGTGGCACAGCGGGTTAAAGAAAAGCACTAAGAAGCTTAAGCCACTTCCACATGGATTCAATCCCCGCCTGCCCCGGAGGTGATCCACATGGCGTGGCAGACCTCTCCTGACCTGCCCGCTGCTCCCCTCAGCAGTGTACTTCGTTGATCTGCCAGTTCTGCTCCCCACTCTGTCTCTGGTGAATCCTCTCACCCTCCACATCTCTGGCCTGTACCCCAGTTCTGTATAAATAATAAATCTTAAAAAAAAATAGATATTTAAAATCAGAGAAATTCCAGACCACTGACAGCCTCCTTGGGAAGGAATGACACAACCGTTGTAATAAATCTCGTAGCACTGGGGCTGCATGATGCCAAAATTTTATTTGACCCAGACCTTTATACCATTTTTCTACTGATCAAATACTCAAACAGATTTAAAGTTTTCCTTTGACCTCAAGAACACATCCCTATTTTTGATGAAGAATTTGATATAAATGTGAAAGAGAATCGATCACCTTAAGAGTTGTAGTTTCATAGACCTGGAAGGGTTTTAGAATTTAGTCTGGTTATCAATGTTACAGCTGAAGAACATCAACTGAGGAAAGTTAAGTGCCTAGCAAAAATGATTAGGGCAGTGGCTTCTCACTGGGTTAAAGACAGTCACCCAAGGTGGAATGTAGGAGCCACAATATGGTCTCTTTTGAGAGTCTTAAATTGCCAATGTTTCAACTGTAGGATGAATAGATAAGGAATTGTGCCAACATGATATTTAAAATTCCAAGGACAATTCTACATGTCCGCATATCAAATGCAGTCGCCATATCCTGCATCAATTTAAACCTACATGGATCAGCAGGACTGATGCATCTGTAGGCCATCAAAGCTTTTATTACTAATATTATCTATTAAATGTCAGGGAATTCTTGATCCCTAAAATGGGAAACACAATTATGTGTTTGTAAATGTTTTGCATTTTTATTCTAAATGGAATAAAATTTTTTTTTAAAGATTTATTTATTTATTCGTACAGAACTGGGGTACAGGCCAGAGATGCGGAGGGTGAGAGGATTCACCAGAGACAGAGCAGGGAGCAGAAAAGGCAGATCGACGAAGTACACTGCTGAGGGGAGCAGCGGGCGGGTCAGGAGAGGTCTGCCTCGCCATGTGGTCACCTCCGGGGCAGGCGGGAATCGAACTCATGTGGAAGCGGCTTTAGATTCTCAGTGCAGTGCTTTAACCCGCTGCGCCACCAGGGAGGGCCCGGTATAAAATTTTTTAATTTTTCACCTGTTCATTTCCATCCTGAACAAGTAACCTCATTGTCAGCCTCAGATAAACTTCCCTCAGTAGAATTACCATGCCAGCCTTGGAGCAGAGCAACCAATTCACATGGTATTTTCATTAGCAGAGTGTTTTTTTGAAAGGGAATGAAAGTAATAGAAAAAGCATCTATTTTTTTTCTTTACTATTCTGGTATTTTTTAAAGTTTTATTTTATTTATTTATGAATACAAGAACTGGGGTAAAGGCCAGATGTGTGAGGGGTGAGAGGATTCACCAGAGACAGAGTAGGGAACAGAACAGGCCTATCTGCTGAAATTCACTGCTAAGGGGAGCAGTGGGTAAGACAGGAGAGGTCTGCTAGGCCATGTGAGTTGGCTCCCTGGCAGGGTATCGAACTCATGCTGTAGTGGTTGGCAATAGCTTGGTTGTGCTAAGATTCAATCCCTAGTGACATCAGGGAGGCCCTGTTGTTCTATTACTGACTCCAAAAACTGAAATTTCAATAGTTTGCTTATTTTTCCCTTTTCATATTATATCTAACTCCTCATGCAATATTAAATCACTAAAGTATCACTACATCTTAATATTAGTTTAATGATAATGTTTTGACCCAAAGATCGAAAGTGACATTTGAGGGACAATTTTAAGTCTGGACGTTACTGGACAGGAGTACAAAACAAAATTTTTAAAAGTAAAAACACAATTAAAACAAATGTCTCCGTGATACAGTTTGACATACTCCCTTAAATCATATCAAAAGAAAAAAATAGCAAAAAAAAAAAAAAAATGCACAAAATCATCCAAACCACAATTTGGAGGAAATAGTTTAACATGCATAAAACAAGCAAAGACAATATAATTCCCCAGTTAAAATCAGCTCAAGTTAAATATACACACACATAAAATAAAAACTCAAACACAGAATTGATTTATAGAAAATTGTTAAACATCAATATGCATATATAAGTATAAAATTAAAGGATGGTATTTTATAAATAAATATAAAATTTTATAAATGGTATATATGTTTATAAAATTTTATAATTAAATATAATTTTTTTATCCTTCCAACTTTCAACTTTAAAGGTCTTCATTAATCAATCTTAAATTTCAAACCAAATCATGAAATTTATCTGCTTCTTTCTAAACAGAAGCCTTCAGGTCATGTGATGGTGGTTTGAAAATCTGTTAAAGTTATATTTTTGCACGTAGTGAAATGTGCCTGTCATTCAATTTAAAAAGCAAAGTAAAAAAAAAAAAAGACAATTCATTTTAAAACTAGTATAGAAAAACTTTTGGTTTCTCAGCCTTCTAATTTGCTAAGAAAACCCCATCTAATTCAAGGGGTTCGAGTCCAACAGAGGATTGACTTAATTTAAACTGATTTAAACTTCAGGGGTAGGTCTCCTTAGTTAAGGATCCATCCATTTCTCTTATCAGTAATGGAAAATAAAATGGACTCAGTTGTGCCTTGAATCAGATGGCAGATGCTGGGGAAGCTCTCTTCCTTCTGGAACACTAGCAGAAGTTCTTCCCTTCCTCCCATCCATGTGAAGGACAGTACCCCCTTTGCTGGCCTCAGCTAAGAACTTATTAACAGGAAAGAGCCTTCAATGACTTTGCACAAAGGGGAATGTACAGAAGCAACAAGCTCAGTCCCTGATGACATGATAGAGCTGATGGCTTCGCCAAGCCCCCTCCCTTCCAGGCTCCTGTCTGAGAAACAAGGGGCCTCATTACACAAAAAATCACAATTTTGAATTGGGTTTACTGACATAGCCAGAAACTGATACCCCTCTCTTTTCTTGGTAGCCATGGCTTTCAAACAGGTAATTAGTTCCCAATTATGGAGACAAAATGTCTGTTAGAGTAGAATGGATTTATTGCTTCCAAGAACAGGGTAAGAGAAAGAAAATGTTATTTATGGCACACACTGTAAATATCAAGGGAAAACAGTCATCAATATTGAGTGATTTTTGAAATAGTGTTTTGGCCTATATAATGCTTGAAGTGTATATTTAACTGAGCTTAACGGTCTTATTTCATTTATTTCATTTTAGACAACCATTTTGAAAAAAATACAAAAAAAAGACAAGATAGCTACCTTCATAAATAACATCAGTATAATACAAGCTTGAACCTATAAAAGCAAAACAAAGATTTGTAAATATACATGGACATAAAAATTACTAAACTAGATATGTATTAAAGTATTTTTTAATTGAATAAAATGCTCTACAAGATGGATTAACTGAACCCTAAAATTCTTGATGTGCTTCATACTAACTCATTCCCTCCTTGGTCCCATAACCTCCACCCTTCCAAAGAAGAAAATAAAGATAAATCACAAATCACTCTGGCTGAAAATACTTCATTGATCAGTGAATGTGGCAATTTTTTCATTTCATTTTTCTTACATGGTTAGTCATTTTAATTGCAGTTTTGATATTTTTATTCCAGAGACAGATAATTTTCAGGCCACTTTGTAATTCTCTGATGAGCTGGGAGTTATTTTCAAAATATGTTCAGCAGATCCATTTTCAGTGACACATATTAGTCACGTGTCAAATGATTTGTAAAGTACAGTTTTGCTTTTCACTTGGTCTTGAGGGGCAATAGTCCATCAGTCTTGGTGGCCCCAAGACTGAATAAATCTCTTCATTTTTGCCCTCATACAACACAGAAAAATAAACATATTCTCTCTACTGAAATCATTCATATATTAGATTATGAATAAATGTTATATCAGAATGAAATGTGAAAGCATATCCACTTAATTATCTTGGATGCTTTTTTCATGAAGATTATCAGAATATTCTATTTTAAAGTATTCACAAGACAATCTGCAAAAATATATGTTTCAACTATCATCTGCAAAAAAGCACTTTCTACTCATTCTCCATTCAGAACTAACTGGTTCTATATAAAAGCCTACTTGGAAATAAAACTAAATTTTGATATGACATATATTTGATGGTAAAACCAAATTTCCGGAGCCACTTACTATGCTTTCAGTCTTCATAATGTAAAGAAATAAAACTTATAAATCATGAAGCTTACTCTATTATCATTCCATTTCTGAAATCTTAGCAGAAAATATCACTTATAGTGAAACTCAAGCCAGTTTTCCACTCATGTATCCCCCAGGGACTAATCAAGCTTAGTCAAAATGAAGAATCAAATAAAACTGGCCCTAATGGTCAAATTAGAGGTTTCATTTTTTACACAGCTCAACTAGCAAAGTATCTTTTTCCTTTCAACAGTTAATCCTTTTTCAATTGAGGCATCATTGGTTTCTAACTTAAGTTTCAATTATATAGCATTATGACCCAACATACATTATCTCATGACCACCGCCAAGTCTAGTTTCCATCCACTATGGCACAATTGATCCCCTTCCCATTTCCCTCACCCCCCTAAATCTTCCTTCCTATAACAACCACCAATCTGCTCTCTATGTCTAAGGGGTTTTTCTCTTTGTTTGTTTTTCGGGTTTTTTTGTTTATCTTAGCAAGAGGAAAATTCAGTAAATGGTTGTGTACATGGATGGTGGGAAGATACCCACAGCTCTGCCACCCACACTGTGCATAACTCTCTGGGAGTCATTGAGACTGTGATCTGTGTAACGGTTCCACCTGAAACTGAAAGTGCACACCTGTGTAATGAACCGGCATCAAGTCATAAGGAAATAAAACTAGGTGTTTCCATAAGGAACACTGTTCTAGTATACTTCTATTGTACTTTGAGTTGTACTATCGCAAGCACCATTTTAAAGCAGTTTTGAGTTACACCATGTCAATACATATTGTCAAAATTATTTATTGCTAATATAAACCCTTCCTGAGAAGGGTCTCGAAGGCTATCTTACAGTTTGAGAGGTAATTCAGTGACTAAAGCAGCAAGGAATCCCAGGGGTACCCCAGTGATGCAGAGTGTGTTCCATCTTCTGAAGTTCTTTTCTTTGCATAATCCTAGACCAAACAGTGTCTCCCAAATGGTAAGAATGTCCTATCCTTGCTGAAAGAAAATTTCCATTGCCCCAAAAGAGCAAGTGACTCTTCAAACTGCTCAGTATTCCATTATTCAGAAGATCTCACTCTGATCGTAGCAGTCGAGTTGTGTAACTCAACCACTCATTTAAGGAAGAAGCCCTAACTCCTTCCCAGTCAAAAGATGAGCACCAAGTCAGCACAGAGGAACTCAAATGTCTGTTTGTCTCATATATATATTCTATTTTCTGATGTTTGTGGAGCACCTATGGGTATTCCCCTCACTTGGACAGTCATGTGCCTCTTGAGGACATTTTCAACCATGATTCCCAACAGGCAATACCTTCTACCAGCTGCAGTACGTTGAACCATCTAGGCTATGTAATTGTGCCCTAGGACCTTTGCAAAGTCACCTAATGGCACATAGACTATATCCCTGCTGCAAGTCACACGTGACTATACTTGACTCTTGATCCAACTCAAGTTGTCAGATACTGAGGGTATTGGTGTGACAGGCCCAAGAGATGGCTTGAAGCACTTCCAGGGAGAAGAACAATGGAGACAAATCTATACCCACACAGCATCCTCATACAGCTGTGCTTTAGATGTGCGACTTCCACAGCCCAAGAGACAAACCCTTACATGATAATACCGAACTTTGACCCTCAAATTATCAACTCAAAATACATCACCATCCTCTTAATCCCATGTTTAAGGACATAAAGTGAGGACCCTCTTATGTCCATTTTCTCATCTTTTATAGACTTTTTTCATTATCACGTCTACAGTTAAACGGAAAACACATTTGTAGGATTAAAAAAAAACAAAACTGAGAAGCCTGGTAGCAAGGCAGAATGGCTCACCTTCTACTCTGCTGAGAAGATAAAAATAATGGGGGGGGGGGTTGCAGATGACTCATCTGTTTCTTTTAAGCTTTTTCTTTCTTTCAAATGCCCCATAAGCAAAAGAATTTTCTATATTCTCTATTTGCACATTTCAGTGTGATCTTGACAAAAAATATTTCAGAGAACTTCATATTATAAGACAATAAGAACTCACTCTTTCAGAGTAAATTATCCTTGCTTTGTCAACAATGCTTTCTAACCCATAACATGGTATCATGAGTTTCTAGATCCTTCTCTCTTGCCTTTCTGTATGGAAAGCTGAACTCAGGGCCTGAAAATATTGAGGGGTTCAGATGTCTGGGTCGCATTTCTGACTGAACCACTAAAGTGCTGTGCAGCACTGTAAGTCTCTTCACTTTTTCTCTAACAAAGGAAGCTTCTATGAGACAGAAGATAATAGCTCTAGCTTTGGCAACTCCTCAGGAGCTTCAGGGAGCATAATTAATTAACATTAGTACTCTTGAGACATAAAGAGCTATTTAAGTATAAATCTTAATTATCATGATTATTATGAGTCTATGGTTGAACCATGCTCTTCTTGGTTATTTAAAGCAGAAAGGCAGGTAGAATTCTCTTTTATTTCTTTCTCAGGACAAGCAGTGGGTGAAGACAAATAGCCTAACGGGCAAAGAGGGGGGAGCTTTACATTTTCTCGATCTGTATGTAACATTGGGAGAAATTTCTTCCTCTGCATTTTTTGACCTTGTATGCCAAACCTAAATCTGCCAGTCTGGGGGCAATTCTAAGTGCTAGAGAGAGTGTCAGTTCATCCAGAAGTCATAACTCTTTTGACAAAACAGCACTACTAAGAAGCTGTGGGGAAAACTCTTCCAATATTTATAGTTTGTTCCTGATGTGCATTTTGCATAGGAGATTACTGATCCAGAATTAGGCAGCATAAGTCACTACCTCCCACTGCTGTGTGAATGAGCATTTTTGAGCTGTGACAGTCTTCCTGAATGAGTGCGCCAGAGAGAGACTCTTTATGTGCCACCTACAGAATGAAAGGCTTTAAAACAAGGGCATTTTATGCCCAAAAGTAGATGATTAGATTAAAAGGTTGTGGTACATATACACAATGGAATATTACTCAGCAATCAAAATAGATAAACTAATTCCTTTTGCAGCAACATGGATGGAACTGGAAGGGATTGTGCTTAGTAAAATAAGCCAGAAATAAAAAGAAAAATACTGATGGTTTCACTCATAGCAGGAGCATAAAGGACCGGAGGGGAAAAAAATAATGAACAACTATATACCAGAGACATTTTATGGGGGTGGAGTGGCAAATGGGATCAAAATGGGGGGGGGGGGCTATTGTGATGGCACATGGGTGAATTGGATTTTAGCTGAGATGGAAAAAGGCACAAAATGATGTAAAAGTAAACTATTATAATAAAAAATTTCTTCACACAAAAATAAAAACAAGGGTATTTTATTACCTAGTGCTTTGGCTAACTTTGTTGCAAACCTGAAGTACTCATCACTTGGGTTGTGATTTCAATAGAATCTAACTCAACATGGTCAGATTCATACATATGTTTGACCTTGAATATTCTTGAAATTTTTGCTGTCTCATCAGAAAACAGCAGCAAAGGCTTCTGGTTTCTTCCCCATGACACAAGAAATCTGCCTGTCATTAATTTCTGCTTTAAAAGACACCCTCACTCCTTCTAATCTCCACTCAGTTCCCCTTGTACACCTTCCTGTTCATGAAGATAATTCTCTATAGGGAGTGTTGAATTCCAATGATAATCACATTGTGGATCAATTTCACCTTAGATAAGTCTTATTTTTGGCCCATAAGCTAAATAAGATACAGAGAATCTTTGGAGAATCCTTAGATAGCCCTGAACTTCCCCTGTGTGTGCCTGCACTGCTGTCTTACTTTTTATTCACTCTCCCAAGCCTTCAGTCATATATGTACTCATCCTATATTTTTGCCAAATTAGAGCACATTTCTGTGTACCAGCTAGTCTATATTTTTATCACTATAAGCATAGATATCCTCAGGGAGTCAATGAGGTAATCTTGAAGGCTGCATGATTACTTTTTCTGGTGTTCCCCCTCCACCCCCATTTTGCAGGATAGATGTGAATCACCCCCCCGCTACTCGTGTGACTCAAGAATCTGCAGCATCAGCACATGCTGGAGCTTAAGAATGCAGGATTCTAGTCCTTTCTCCAACCCACAGAATCAAAATTTGCATTAAAAAAATATGTTTAGTCTGTTTAAATCTGGTTAACAGGAGATCTGTTGTGCTCGTTACCTTCTGGCCCACAACTCCACAAGAAGTTTGACCAAAGTCAAAAGAAGCTTGGAGGCATAATGACTAGCCATTAAAGCAAATGTAAAATTTGATTTCTAACTTATACAGGACATGTATGCTCACCAAAGAATTATTGTTTATTATAGGAAAAAAATGAGCAGAAAAAAATCTCCCTCAGGTCAGAACTCCCACCAAAAGCAGTGCTCCTCAACCTTGGACCCCTGGGGATCTTGAAAACAAATACAGCCAAAACCCAAGCCTCATCCAAGGGCCAGTGAATCATAATTGCTAGAGATGGGTCCCAAGAATGTACCCTAAAAATGAAATAAAATAAAATATCCATAAAAACTACCCAGTTAATTCTAACGTGTGAGAAGTAGCAGGGTGCAACTATTCTTGAAGCCAAAGACTAGTCCTGTGAATAAATTTTAAAGAGAGAATGGAGACAAAAATGAAACAAAACTAGCTTGCTATCACAAGTTGTGCTCTTCAGTGTATTCAAAAGATAAATACTATTGTCTCCTAAATTTCATTTTGAAGCAGTTTTGTGCTTTAAACATAACCCAAAACTGACTAGAACTGAGTTCAGTTCTAAGCATGATTCTAAACAGATCTGTCTAGCACTATAAAATTGTGCAAGTCTTTCCTCCAAGCCAAATTTCTAGTGATCAGCAGATGGGGAAGGCATTGGCTTAGAATGTGGGGTCCTGGCAATCTCTACAGATCTGTTAGCATCTGATCTGGGTCCGGGTTCAGAGTCTTAGTTCTGCAAGGCTCAGCAATGTGGAAAGACATTGTATAGGAATCTCAACTGCCTTTACCCCACTCCATGAGGGCACTTCTAGGCCTGACTGATGCTGGGTGGCATCAGTGAAAAGCAGAACCTCTGTCCCATGCCCACCATCTCCATTCCAGACAGCAGTAAAAACAATCAGCATTAAAGCGCAGCAACCTGTCTAGCCGCTTTCAGGATCACCTGTTCTGGTTTAGGGACATTTTGCTTACGATTTTTCATTTGTATTTTAATTGATTTTGACACTCTTCATTCTCTAATCCCAAACAGAGAATGAATTCTTAATCAAGGTCACCCACCCATGAAAATCTGGGTTCTGAGCTGCATGAGGAACCCACACTCTAAGGACACAGAACTGCCACTGAATTCTGTGTGAGGCACTGCAGTAGCTCCACAGTGAGCCCAGGCTCCCTGTGTTCTTGTAAGCCAGGAGGTTGACAATGGAACAAGAAGGAAGCCATCAAAACACGTAGGAAGAAAAATAGCAGAAATTTCTTAGCAAAAAGCTCTGTGACAAATGCTTCTTCACTAATTGCTGTATGATGGCAGCAGATATGTTGAAAGAATACACACAGAACTCAAAATGTTATGTTTAATTTGGAATGTACAGTAGGCCAGCAGGAAAAATGCACCTATACTAGGTACAGGTACAATTTGTTTATTTTTGTTTAGTTTTAAAGCAGGATGAGAGGGAAAGGCAGCAGTTCTAGAAAAGACCAGGATAGATGACACAACTACAAATCTCATAAATACCCATAAAACTTCTATCACACAAGCCAAGTGAAGTCAATTTTTAATTGCTCACACTGGTGATGGCCCATTTGGGCCATTTAGATCTATATCACAGTGGGCCAAATCATTTCATTTCCATTTTTATTTAATCCTTGATAGTTAGTCTTTGAGCAAATATGTGAATATTAAAAAAAAAGTTTTCTAAAAGTAGAAATTTTTTTAAATTATATTTAAAGAGCTAATAAAAATAAACAAGAGGAAAAGGAAAGAGAAAAATCCTTGTAAAATAACATTTTTGATAAATTATTTCTGTTAAAAAGAATATTTGAGAGACGCCAGTTATTCTTATGTTGGAAAGCAATTCTTTTCTATCACTAGAAAAGTTAAAACTACAGAAATATTCAATAAAAACGAGGTCACATGAATAAGAGGAGTTAAATTTTCCAAAATATTGGTGCCCTATGGAAATTTTTTTAAAAAAAAATACATCAAAATCCTATCTAAAATAGAAGTTACAGGCTTTCCACTGGCAGAGCTGTGTATATATCAAAGCACACAGGACATGTCTACAACTAAATGCCAGCCCTTCACCCTCAATCACGTTCACCTCCAACAGTTTCAAAAGGCAGTCAGTGGTGAAATTCAAATCAATTCTAAAGTTCAGTTAACAGTAACATACAAAGTCAGATTCTTAGTTTTGAGAAATATAAGTAATACAAGGTGATAACAATGCAGAAAATTGGGTGAAGGCTATCTAGGGACTCTCTGTACTATCACTGCAACTTTTCTGTATACTTAGTATTATTCACAAGAATACAAAAACACTAATTTGAACAAATATGTGCACCCCATGGTTAGAGATTTACTATGGCAAATATAGTCAGGCAGCTAAATTCTCAATTAAGAAGATTTAATGAGAAATGTAACAACTGCCAAGGTGTCTGGGTAAGGCATCCAAACTTACTTTGTTTTATGTGCTCCTGAAAAGCATTTGTAAATCAAACTTATATAATTCAAATCACATTTTGCTCAAGCTAAGAAAGCGTGCATGTTTATAAAAAGCTGTTTAATAAATACCAAGATACAAGGGAAAGACTTATTACGCGAGGAGAGCTACTACTGCATTCTCGCTTATAGTTTGGCATTTTCACATCCATCACCTTTGTCCATGGAGCAGCTTGGTAAGCCACAGCATATGCTGCCCAAGCAAACCCTGCCTCATGGACCTCCAAATTTCCTTTTGCCTCTGCCAAGCCATCTTTGTGTGACTTTAACGAACTCAGAGCTACTGCAATGAGGAATTTCATTCACATACAGGTCCTAAAATTCCAACACAAACCTCCGCCTCCACAATGATGCCAAGTTTGGGGCTACAAGATAGAGGAAATAGGAATACTCGCTGAACATAAGCTTGATGAATACCCAAAAGAAGGAGAGCTGGGTCATATTATATTTCTATTCTTAATTTTTTGAGGAATTTCCATATTGTTTTCCATAGTGGCTACACTGATTTACATTTCCATCAATAGCATTAAAGCCCCCCTTTTCCCCACATTTTCTCCAACACTTGTGATAGCTTGTCTTTTTGATAATAGAGATTCTAATAGGTATGAGGTGATAGCGCATTGGGGTTTTGATTTGAATTTCCCTGATAAGTAGTAATGATAGACATCTTTCCACGTGCTTGTTAGCCATGGAAATAGTTGGAGGAGTGTCTTATTTAGGGAAGTGTCTATACAGATTCTCTGCCCATTATTTAATCAGATTGGTTTTGGTCGTTGAATGTTATAAGTTCTTTATCTGCGTTGGAAATTAACTCTTTGTTAGATGTATGACTTACAAATAGCTAGTGAGATAAGTCACCTGGAGAAGGTCAAATATTGTATAACCTTACTCATAAGTGGAATATCAACATAAAACAAACAAAAACCAACAAATACAAAATGTGATTACCAGAAAGGTATTGCTGGTGAGGTAAAGGATACAGGAGGTCAATACTATGGAGATGGATGGAACGAGAGAGTTGGTGGTGATCCTGATGTAGTATGTAGTGATGTTGAATTACATTGCTGTGCAATCCAAAATGCATATAATGTTAAAAACTAATGTTACCTCAATAGATATTTATTAAGAAAAGAGGAATTTTCCATTGCATGATCTACAGCAAGTAAATGTAAGGCAATAGTCTCTAAGATTACTGAGACCACAGTGTGGATCCTTGATGTCTGTCACCTTTCTTCTAACCCAAAGCATTGGTCATATTGAAAGTACCACCATTTCTAGAAAAACAATACAGGATGTGTTTTAAAACATAATAATAACACCTCAATGGAACATTTCAGGTAAGCAAAATATTTCAGGATGAGAAAGGAATATGAATTACAGATAAGGGATAGAAGATAAATATTAAATATGCATAAGCCAGCCAAATACAATTAAGCTGCTCAAGGTTTCTCATGAGTTTTGCCTTCATGGGTTCAAGATCTCATTAATCACTGGAGAGAAAAATCAAACATGTATATTAGATTATTTTTTAAATGGTCTTTGCTATATAGTTGGCATATAGACTGAAGAGACCATGAACCTAAGCCCTAAAAAGACACATAATTTGATGGCCTCCTATACTCCACATGTGTTAGAAGATGCAGACATATGTAGATTCTGTATCTTCACCCTGCACCCCAGAGTAAAGACTCAAGGCACAAAACCTATCCCAGTTGAATATAATGCCACTAGATAATAGCATTTCAAGTCACTCATTGTATACCTGAAGGATGGTTCATTGTATACATGATTTGGTAAGCGTTGAGTGACATACCCAGTCTTCTCCCCAAGGCAAAAGCATCAAATACTCACCAGTGTCAATACCAGGCCTGCCCATGAAGTGAGCAGAAATCTGTTTCTCATCCTTCCCATACTCATTCTTGGCTACTAACTTGTAGTCACCGTTGTTCATGTGGGTGGGATTGTCCAACTGGAGGCAGCCATGGTACTCCGTGTGATTGGTAACATGGATTTTAGTACAGATGTATTTGGACTCATTCAATATTGCCCCGTTATAGAACCACTGAAGCGCTGGTTTGGGGTTGCCTTTCACAGTGAATGGAATGCACCAGTGGTGGTCTGAGGTTGGAGATTCGAGAAATGTGATAGTTGGAGCAACTAAATTGAAAAAGAGAGAGTTAATAGCATCACAAAGCTCAGAATTCACCCCCATCTCCAGATTTCTTTGTCATTGATAGGGGATCTTATTCATCATTGTTGGATTTAGAAAAAAATATAACCATCAACTCTGGAATCATCAATATTTTGTTTTATTAAAGTGGTTTTAATTCCCCACAGAAAGCATCAGGACTCCTTTCTTTGCCTTACTTAAGACCCATGCACCACAGTCACTTTTTAAATTTATTCAGTGTGAGAACCAGCTCCAAACAGAGCCAAGATATTCTGACAGTGGAAAAGGTTCATTTGAGGTTACCTTGGTTTCTAATACATGTGCCTTAGTATTATGTATATGCATTATGAAAACATTGAGGGGCAGTCTTTTTATATTATTTCTTCCCTAAATTATACAAATAAAGACAAAACATGACTTCGGAAGTTTTGACAGAATCGCTAATCTCACAAAACTTATCCAATTGATCAATGCCATGAATATTGCTACTAATATTGATTGACCATTATAAAGTATGATAAATTGTGATTTGTCACTGCTTGTAAATAGCAAATGCCCTTTAAAAGCATCACATTTCATTATAGTTCAGCCCATTTGTGCTAGATTTCAAATGCCAGTGCTCTTTCTACTATCCTCTAAATGTCTAGGGTTCTTTCTAAACCTAGACAAAAAAGCTAGAAACGATTTTAAGGATAAAGCAATTTACGTTTCAGTGTGAAACAAACATAATAAGGGAACATCTTTAAACAGAGTACTTAGCTCGAGTAAATTAATTTAAAATTTCTCCTCACTTTTTATTTTAATATGATCTGACTGATAATTACAAAATCAAAGGTCAGAAAGACCTTCAAAATCTAATAGCATCATTTTTCAGATGAGGAACATAATCCAATGTGATTAAGTGACTTAGTCAAGGTTACCCTGTTGAAAACATATGTAACTGAGAGAGGCAAGTCTGAAGCCAGAACCCAGTCTCTTGATGCTAATCCAGTAGCTCTGCCTACTCAGACACTGCTTGCTGGCTACGTGGGTTCTGCACCTTGCACTTCAGTACACAGAGGGGGAATGTCATCTACCCTCTGTGGAAGACTGAAAATGTTATCTCAGTTGTTAATATTCTCTACCACTTATTCCTTCTACTCTTGATGCTGAGTATGATAGCTTTACAGTAAATTCTTCAAACTACAGTGATCACATAGAATCCAAGAAAATTTTGAATATCAATATCCTTATTAGATAATCTGCTGTTATCTGATATCACCTCCTATTTGTGCTCAGATAAATCCCCCAGGACAAGAAGCAGTAATGCTCATAAGAAAGACTAATTCACCTTCTAAATCTACAGGAAGATTTCCAGTTAGCAGTGAAATTCTAAGTGAGTACAGGGAGCTTGGGAATTCTGCATATGTGTGTGGTAATAGGGTTATTCATCTTAACAAATGCAGTACTACAAAACTTAAATTTACAAAGCTTAATTTTTTTATCAAATACTTGTCATAGGTCTTCAGAAAGTAAAATAATTTTCCATATGCAATTCATATATAAAATTATTTTTAAACAATTTGGGGGAAGGAGCTTTAAACCCATTATCCAAAATAAAGAGCACATGTGAGACATACTTATTTAGAGGTGTGTGTTACAAAGAACATGATAGGACAGGTCGCACACTTACCTCCTCCCACCAGCCCAAACCCCCAAACCTAAAACCATTTATTCCATCATGCTCAGATGAGCCATGGAGGAGGTGCTGATTTAAAGGACATATGTTGGAAGCTGGGTGCATATGTTTGGAGGAAAACATTGACTTCAGGCTTCTGAGTGGGTGAAAGGATGAGGAATTAGGAGTCTAATATCTACTCCGCAGAGTAGTAGTTTCAACAGTAATAGAGTAGTAGTATCTAGTATTTACTATCTACTAGATACTGTCGAGATACCACATATTAGTGGCTACTCTCTATTCAACAGCAGTAGTTTCGACAGCAATAAGGAACTAGGTTGGTAATTTCAGTGATTCACTCCATCAAGCATGGGCTGCATGTGAGTCTAGGCGACCTGAACCTGTAAATCTGGCCCTGTGTACAATGTGTATTCATTCGGACAGATATGCAATGTTGTGAAAAGTATATGATTGTCAACCAAACCCTAATCCAAACAGAACAGAGCCTCATTAATGCATACCATGCCAGCTCAGATTTTGTAATGATGTGAAAAGTATATATGATTTTTACCGAATATACATTCACACTGAACACCACCATCTGGCATGTTAAGATGTGTTATGTTATTTATAGTACTGGGAAGTAATGCACATATGTTTAAGAAGCATTAGTATCCTATATCTAAATCTCAATGTGTACATAAATTTAGAACAACAATAAGATTTCTATCAGTGGTAATAATTTTTGACAGTTTAAATTGGACTCTCCAACCTTCCCACAAAAACTTGGTATCAAACTAATGAAGCTTTACTGTATCAACAATACAATTATCTGTTTGTGAATAGCCAGCCTATGTTTTAAGTATCACAATTTAAAATTTTTTTTGCTTTCATTAAGAAGACATTTTTAGAAACTGATTAATCAGAATTTACACTAAAACTTATTATCCAGAGGTGGATATCCTGCTGAAAATATATGTAACAACAAAAGATGAGGAAGGCACAGAGAACAAGCTGAAGATAAAAAAGTAAAAATAATAATAAGCTTAAAAGAAACACAATGCATAAGCAAGAGAGATTAGCAGAAATAGAACAAGTGAAAAAGACTGATGGTCTCTTGATTAAGTACAAAGTACTACATAAACATTTTTAACACACTCAAGGAACACCTACAGTGACCCAATGCCACAGTGTGTCTGTGCTCATTTGCTATTAAAAACACATGCCTGTCTGATTACGTACAATGTACAGTGAGGTTGACAGAATCTTGATCTTCTCCTACGAGATTTTCTGCCACACAAGAGATTTGTTTTCCACTGTCATCAGATGAAATGTTAGTTATCCTTAAGGAGCCCTGTGTGTGGCTTGTTTCATTCTACAAATGAATTAACAGAAAAAAAAAATCTTTATTAGTAAGGATCCTAGTGTGACAAGATCGATGGTTTTTTCACCGAACTAGAGAGAAAACATATGTGTGTGTTCATGTGTGCGTGTGTGCATGTGTGTATAACATTAGAAAAGGTTTCCATCTTGAAGCAGGTTTAGGCAAGAGAAGAAATCAGAAGTTATTCTGTTTCTCCATATTTCAATTATCTGATGAGAAAATTTTATTTAATCTTTGAATTTCTATCTACCATCCTCCAGGGGAAAAGACCACCAGGAGAGTCGCCCACTTTGCTCACGATGATATTAAAATCTCACTAAGACATAGAGACTTTCCCATCTACTAGGTATACATAACTAAAATGCAAACTTGTATTAGTCTTTATTAATTAATTAAAGATATATAGAAAGTAAATTGTATCCAAAACTCATTATCGAGTTCTCTCTGTGATCTATAGAATATTAAATGCTCTTCACCAGGTGAATACAACCTCAAGTTTTAAGACACTAGCTTTCTATGAGCACAGAGTCAAACATAAGCCTTACCATATGTTTAGAAATCAGATTACCAACATCCCAGTACAAATTCGGAACTGGATCGCCTGCAACACTGCAAGATAATGTGATAGATTTTCCTTCTTCTACAGTAAGGTTAGGTGAAGCCAAATTTGCTGATGGCAAACCTGTGGAACAAGAACAGTAATTGGAGATATACACAGATACTTAAATATGTTATCAAAATAATAGTAATGAACTGAAAACTATGCTTTAAATCTATTACCCATTATTTATTTTCTGACACTGATTTATGTTGATCTGAAGGCAGACAAGGTTGGAAAGATTTGATGTGAACCAAAAACATGCAGTGATAAGATCTGAAACAAATTTTGTACACTTCTTAGAAAGTTCATTACAGGATCACTTTTTATTTAAAAAAAAAAACTATCATTCTGTTCTGTTCTACAGGTACTAATCCAGTGTTTCGCACATACCCAGATACTGTTATCTTATCTCCCCCTCTTCTCACATCCACTTTGTTATAGTCAAGAATAAAAGGGTGAAATAGATCTACACTTTTTGCATAATCTATTTTTTTGCATGGAGTAACTCATAAATCCAATCCTCTACCCATTTGGACTTTAAAAGGATTAGACTGATTTTGAAACCAATCAAACCTTGATTTAGAGTTAGATTGGGGGAAAATGTAGTTTTTAAGCATTTTTCAGAAAGTGGAAGCATGGCCATCACAGCATTAGAATGTTTCAAAATTGTATAGTTAGACAAAATGGATCATCCTGTTTATGACGAGGTTTAAAAAAGATGCATGGGTTCTTATTCTAATGAAAAGTTATTTTTTGTGTGAAAATCCTGAGAAAGTATTTATCAGAGGAAATTCTGAAGTTAATGTTTTTTTTAAATTAAGCAATTTTTTAATATTTCGGGAGAGAATCATTTTATACTTTTATACTTCAAATGCTAGCTTTGCTTTATTGATGCTATTATCACTTCATTAAACAATCACACCTATTGGTTGTTTACACTGCTTTAAACCACAGGGGAATCCTAGTGGTTTGTTTTGTTTTTTTTTTGACATCAAGGTGAATCTCATGGAGTGAAACAATATGGCAAGTCCTGTCAGTCAAGTCCACCCCTCTCTCGGTATCAGAAGCTCTTCTTGGGACTACATTCACCCCACAGCAGTGCCTATGGAACTATGATGCATCATTAACTCCAGAGTAACTGAGAAGTCAGAAAAGCAATTCATCGTCAATAGTCATCAAACAGAAATTAAACCCCCCCTCACACCTAATGGTAACTGACTTAGCATCTCACAGTATTGTGCATCAAGTCTCTCCTGTGACTCAGTTTTTACTGACAAGGTCTTTATTCTTTATGATAGAAACAAAACTGGAAAAAAATTAAATAGTGTATATTGTATTATGCTATATATTTCTACCATCCATAGAAGATCATCCACAAGACCTGACATGTAATGTGACCTCTTCTCAGTTCTCTCTTCCTGTCAGCATCCAGTAGAGAGAAGTAGCGTATCTTTCACTGTATTTCAAGAAGGTTCCCAACACTGTGTGGTACATGGGACAAGGAAGCATATAGGGTGATCTAGAGAAAGCCCAGTGAACAGGAAGGAGCACTGCTGGATTGGGAGTTAGAAGCCCCGGCCCTAAGCCTTCCTGTCTATGTGGCTCTTCTCTCATTTCTCCTCTTCTCTCAGCGTTTCTCCTCTCTAAGATTCAACAGTTCAATTAGACAGTCTAGTTCAATTAGACAGTCTAGTTCAAATTTCTTCTAATATCCAGTGACAACATCTGTGACAATTAAGCTTCCTAATTTATTAAGCATGTCAAGGCAAGATGTAAGAAATGGTTTCTCTTCTTGTAGACTCAGCAATATGTTCTAGGGGACTTTAAAAAAATACTTTTTATAGTTTTTAAACAAAATATGCAATCACAGCATTTAAAGCTTATAATAAAACTTATTATAAAAAGTATTAAATTATGTGTGAAAAACATTAGCCATGTCAGACTAATTCCTGTTTTCTATAGGCACCGATTTCACGCCTTTCCACTCAGTTTTTGGGAAATACCAAAATACCATGTTTATATTGCTACTCCTTGATTTTTTCTATTTTAATATTATCTATCTACTGACCTTGGACCATGGAAGATAAAACCAAGGTCACTTTCATTCACGCCCATACCACACTTGACATTTTCTGTCTTCATAGCTTTCCTTTGCTATGAAGTTATGCTGTCTGCATTTAGGGATAAAGCTCATTTTGAGTATATAATCCCTACTGATAGCTGCTGCATCATATGTAATGGTTATCAAGTTTTACCAAATTTAAGATAGCATTAATAATAAGATAGAAAACTGAAATCCTATTATATATATATATATATATATATATATATATATATATTATGCCAGCTCAACTCTGATGCACTATTTTCTCACCACTCAGTGCTCCAATTATTATATTGCTGATGTTTCTAGATAGCTTCTCTATGTTTTAAATCATTTCTCTCCACTTTTCCATCTTTTTAGCTGTGCTCTATTTAAGGGCGATTTCCAGATTTACAATACAAAAAGTTTCGTTGAAGGTTTTTCTTCTTTGTCATAGCTTTAGTTTCCAAGCCTCTTTTACTGCTCCTAAACAGTTTTCTAATGTTATGGCATCCTGTTGTGCTTCTGATTTCTGAGATATTAATGAAAATTTATTTTGAATATTTCTTCTTTCCATATCAACAGTCACTTGCACTTCTTTCCCTTTTTGATGATCTTGTGTTTGTTTTTCTCTCACACAAGTTTTTATCAAGCAATTGGTTACCCTTAACTGTTTGCACACCTTGAAGAAGGACATTTCAGAAGCAATACATATTCATTAATTGCTAGTTTCACTGTAGGGCAATATTATTGGCCCCTACTGGGTAGCACCTGATGTCAGTATTATTAAAATACATTGGGAAAGGAATGGTCAAATTTTGCAGATATGTTCTTCCAATATTCTCCTTGGGAGAAGAAGAAGAATAGAAATGCCAATATTCAAAATGGAAATCCATCATTTTCAGAGTGGTTCTCAAATCTCCAACTCTACAAGAATTCCTTAGGACCTTAGCTTTATCTTCTTAAGATAATAATCCTCCGGTTTTCTGCTAGAAGGACAATCTCTTGGAATGAAAATGAATTTAATTGTTGCTAACACACCTTCAGCCAACCTCCTTTACTTAGCATCACTTTCTGAGGTCTGTAGGAGTTTGGATAGAAACCAAATTGCCCCTTGCCTTCCCCATCACTGACTTGATAACAAGCATTCTCAACACTCCGGTTATTCACTACTCATCCACTAGCTCTCCAGCTTGCAGTATTTTGTGCTTTGTTGACCTCCATTTTTTTGTACTAAAACAGATTTACCCATTCAATCAGGAGGCACCAATAAGCCAGGGCCTTGTTCCAAAAATATGATCAGACTCCACCAGTGGAGCATGGACACACCCTTCTTGCAACTTAAGTACAAACCTACATTTTGTAAGTAAGTGTACCTAAAAGTCTGGAAATTCTGAACAGGAACAGGAAATAGTTAAAGAGATCCTCAGTGGAGAATCATAAAGTGCCCTATAAATCTAATAGTTTTCTACAAGCCTGTATTTGCATGATTAATAATTCTAAAAATGTTTTTTAATACATTACATAATAGTATTTACTGGGCTTTCACTGAACCAGAAATTCTTGTCTAGTACTTTAAATTATTGTTTTTTTATACTTAAATATTAAAGTTAAGTATTTTGTCTTCATTTAATTAATGAAAGATATAAATTTTGAAAAATTGAAATATAACTTCCAAAGTTGCCAGGTACTTAGTCTGGGAATTTGAACCTAAAACTCAGAATTTTCCCCATCACATTTTACTCCCTCGCTAGAGTGCATCTACTCAAGTTTAACAGAAGCCTCACACACCACCAATACATATCAATGATCCAGGGATTTGCTTCATGAAAAAAATAATTGTGTATCTATTTGTGAAGGAAGAGTGAGTCTTCTTTATTTACAGAGAATTTATCACCCTGTCATAGCTATTTCCAAAGGAATCTGTGCAAAATTGGCCAAGTCTAGATCTTTTCAATGTAAAGTCTTCCACAAATGAGTAAGCATCTGACTCACGTTAATTCTACAGCATTAATATGCTGGCCAAAGATTCAATAATGGAAAAAACAATCTGTACTTGAAATATCACTTGAAGTTTAATTAGCACAATAAAAATGAATTGGGAAGCGTGAATAGCCAAGCAGGATAAACCATTTGCCAGGCACTACTTCCTGACTTAATAAGATTTGAAATAGACACAAGTACAGAGCAAAGCTCAGCAACGCTTCCAAGAGTGTCTAGCATTATTCTGATGGGAATTGATTTGAGCTTTAGATCTGCCTTCTTTTACACTCTGAGAAACCCCACTGTAGATAAGAGATGACCAGCTGCTCAACCAGAAAATGCCTCTGCATCCAAACTCTCCACCTGCATGTGTTCAGGAAAGACATCCCACCTGAACCTTAAGCTCAGCAGAAAGTCATCAACATGTAGCAAAAGGGCTGCTCTTTAGATCAGGCTTTCCCATACATACTACACACATCAGTTACCATCAAAATTTGTTTAAAATGTTGCATCTCTTCCAAGAAGCCTGACTTGGAAACTCAGAGTCTACATTATTAACAAACACCCTGTACCAAAGACTACAATTTGAGTAGCAAGAGGTTAAGACAATGGGTGTTGGACAAGTCTTTTGTTTCTGAAGCCTGAGGGAAGGATGACCTGAGCAATCATCTTGTCCATCAAACTTTCCCCACAGTGTGCTCCACCCAACTCTAATTTTGAACTCCTAGAAATGCTCGGCAGGGGCCTTGGAGAGTGGGAAGGAATCCAAGATATTTTTTTTAAATCTAAAGGGAATGTAACCTAGAAGGTCACAATACACATAGCTATATTAAAAGCTTAGAAGTCCCACTCTAAAGGAACTCTCACTTTCCTTCATCTTACATATCCTAAATTTATTTGGGTACACACTATCTCTCTAATTAAGATCTTGCTTTCTTTCTTTAAATTTAACAAAAGATAAGGCATATATATATATATTTATATTATATGTGAACTATTTTGATATTTCAGGTTA